CCCAACAGGAAATCTACCTCTGTGCCTGTCCGGCTCACGCGGCAGGCTACACACTGGCCCATTATCCGGCCATCCAGCAGACTGATTCCGCGACTCGTTCTGTCTCTCCCGCGGGGCGTCCCGCATGGGTGCGAGAGAGACGACTCTCGGAATCAGTCTCACAGCCATGCACAGCGGCCGCACACCGGAACATTTTCGCCCGCGCCGGCACTCTTCATAAGTTAGCAGCCGCGAATTTACATCGCGGGGAAGGGCGAGAGAGAGAGAGGGGGGGCTGTAAATGACCGCAACTTAACCGCGACGCATCTGCAAGCCGCCCACATTAAGCGCTGCGCCAAACCGGGAACCGGGGCGGCGCTCCAACTCCACGCCACTGTATTGTCGGCTCGCTGATTCCAAGAGTGTGTTGTGTGGTGTGGCCGAGCCGAGCCGAGCCGAGCCGAGCCGAGCCGAGCCCGGCAGGCCGCACTACTCGACTCGACACCTTGGAGAGCGAGAGAGATAGCGGCCGGGATGAGAGTTATTTATTGCACAATGAGCGAGTGTCGCGTGCAAAGAATGAGAGCGAGAGAGAAAGAGAGAGAGAGAGTGGAGTGGAGGGGGCGCGTCAATAATTTATTTTACGCACTTTGGAGGGGATCGCATTTAAACTTTATCGCGCTTCATACGGCCTGAATGGGGCCGAGGAGGTGTCGGGGGGGGGGGCGGGGTGGGGCGGGGTGGGTCGGGGCGCCGTACTGAATGGATGAAAAGAAGAAAAGCCGGCCGTACCCTGGTCCTTGGTTCATGGTACTCAGTATGGAGTAGCGGGGTGGGGACACTGAGGTGCGAAGAAGCCCCCCACCCCCTTCTCTTCCGGTCACCGAGGCCCCACCTATACAATGGCCGGCCTTGCGACGCGCATTCTAACGACTATGACACCAAGGACGGGATTACCCCCTCCCCCCTCCCACGCCGCTGGCGCCCGCTAGTGTAGTCGCCGTGGTAATAGCTCACGCATCGCCATGCCGGTCATATTTCTGTGTCGGCGAGTGTTAAAAGACCGGCCGATGCTGAAATATGGTGGTGTCCGCACAGGCTGGCTGGCACTCGCTGGCACGCACCGAGCGTCAGAATTGGTTTGCGCTTCGAAAACAAACAACTGGGGAATGGTCCTCTGGTCGGTCGCTCGATCGGGGCGCCTCCCGTGACTCATTAACTGGCGGTGTGGCGGAGCGGGGCAAAGCGGGGCGGAGCGTCCGCTTGCTCAAACACGGCACTGCAAGGAGAGCCGCTGCAGTCGGCACGACAGAGAGAGAGAGAGAGCGAGAGAGAGAGAGAGAGAGAGAGAGAGAGAGAGAGGGGGGGAGATAGGAGAGAGAGCTGCGGAGAGCAGCCTCGGTTCTCTGCAGTGAAATTCTCAGTCATCATCAGGGATGACGTTTGATGTAAGTAAACCGTCGCCAAGTGCGGCATTTCCGACATTTTCACAGTGCCGTTGCGTCCTCTCCTCGCCGCCTCGCCAGGCGGTCACAGGTAACGTGGCCGGCCGGCCGGCCGAGTGGAGGAAGATCGCCTGTCAATGGCGAGATAGGAAACCCGGGGGGGCCCCGGAGCGTCGCGCGTGCGGCCCGGCCCCTCGTTGGGGCTTCCCGGGGCTCACGCTGCCCGCCGTCGCCGAGACCCCCGTCTCCGTCCGCGTCCCGCCCGAATCCTGCGGCACCAGCACTGGCCGCCCTCGGCAGCCCTCGGGCGCGTGCAAGACCGGGCCTTTAATCCAGAGTAATGCGGAAAGAATGCCAACCTCAACAAGATAAGCCGTTCCCTTAAATTTCCCCCTGCAAAAGAGAGTGCGGGGGCGGCGCTATCAAAAGTCAAGCTGGAAGCGGCCCAAACCCCCCAAGGAACGAGGCAGCTCCGAAGAATTACTCATCAGCATCTCCGAAGAAGATACCCAAGATCACGCTCCACAACAGGAACAAGAAGAAGAAGTCAGTAGAGAGAAGAGAAGAAGGGAAGGGTAGTCCGTTCCTCTTCGGTGACGACGCCTCCACTTTCCCGGGGTAAGTCACACCCTCAATCGATTTCGCCGTGCGCACCGGGAAATTTAAATCGGCGGGGTTTGAGTTCGTTTGCCGAGTTGCTGCCCCCGGGGGGCACCGTTCCCACGGCCAGCTCCACGGCCCGCACGGCCACGACCAAGTGTTCCAGCCCCTCCTCCGTGGTTCTGTGGCTTCCGGGTGGGTCGCGGTGCCTGAGGGCCTGCACAGACGTTCAAGGGCCTGCCCGCTCACATGACATCCGTTTTGGGATGGCCATTGTTGTCGCACGCCGCGCCGAGAGTGCGCTAACCCTCAGTCAGGGCGGCGACGCCGAAGGGCCGAAGGGCGGGGGGGCGAGGACGGGGGCGCGGTGCTTTTTTTTGCCCTGCGTGGGCGCGGCTCCATTTGGGCAGACACGGCTCGCAAGCGGAGCGGGTGCAGGGGCCGGGGCCGCCAACACATGCGAGTGTCCTTTTGCAAATGAAAAAAGCCCCGCCCAAGGGTTTGCCGGCTTCTGAAAACGTCGGGGGCTGTCCAAATTCCACAAAAAAAATCCGCCAAAACTTAAGATTTGAAAAAAAATTACTTGTTTGGACCAGTGAGTGGATCCGTTTCCGGCACTGCGGCGGAACCGTTTCATACCTCCCAGCCCGACCCCTTGCGACCGAAGATCAACGCCTGCGATTGGGGTTCGTTTTAACAGACGCGGTGGTGCGGTGACGGGCCGCGCACAGGCGGTCCTGTCTACAGGTAGCCAGCAGTCGGATGTCTCTATTGCCGCCAGATCGCAGATCCGAGACCAACATGCACAGCACGGCGATTCGGTGTGTAGTCGGTCGGGTGTTCGGTTGGATGAAGCTTTCTATTTTGTCGGCAAGGTCGCAGGATGCTCTCGCCAGGACACAGGTCGCATGAAGAGAGGGGCAGGGCGAAGCACACCTTTCTCAATACATCCAGATTTGGACCAAGAGGACGCCGTTGATCCCCGAGATAAGGGGACGAAGCAGGCGGGCACCGGACCCGGTTGTGCTCAAAGAGGCTGTTCTGGGGTGGAGGCCTGCATTCCCTCCCGGGGATGTATACCTCCTCTCTGACTGGTCATACTGCGAGTGGGAGCATGTAGCCAATTGAGGTTCTTCTCCGCCGGCATAACGTGTCACCCTAGTAAGGACGGCCATGTCTCGTTTTGCAGTGCAGGCGAGCATGTGTCGGGCCCGAAATGGCATACGATCATGTGTGGTCTAGCCCTTAATGGTAATGGTATGTCAATGGCGAGATAGGCAACCCGGCGCGCTGGCGCGTTGCGCGTGCGGCCCGGCCCGGCTCGTCGGGGGCTCCCCCGCGCTCCGCGCTGCCCGCCGTCGCCGAGACCCCCGTCTCCGTCCGCGTCCCGCCCGAATCCTTCGGGATCCCCGGCCCGTCCCGACCAGCACTGGGCCGCCCTCGGCCGCGCTGCCAGACCGGGACCCCCGTAATCCAGAGTAATGACGGAAAGAATGCCAACCTCAACAAGAAGAAGCCGTTCCCTATAAATTTCCCCCTTGCAAAAGAGAGAGAGGGGGGGGGCGCTATCAAAAGTCAAGCGGGAAGCGGGAAAACCCCCCCATGTATGGAAAGGAGGAAGAGATTCCGAAGAATGTAGAAGTAGAAGAAGAAGAAGAAGAAGAAGAAGAAGAAGAAGAAGGAGAAGAAGAAGAAGGGGGAGGTAACTTCCCCACGACGACGGCAGTCCACTTCCGGTGTAAATCACGCCCTCAATTGATTTGGCAGTGGTGTGCGCACCGGAATTAACTCGGCGGGGCCGTTTCAATTTCTAGTTTACCGAGTTGCTGCCCCACACCGCCGACACGACCACCACGGCCACCACCAAGGCCCGCCCGGGCCGCCCGGCCTACGGGACCAAGTGTTGCAGCCCCTCCTCCGTCGGTCTTCCGGTGGGCGAGGGGGAGGGGGCGAGGGGGGGGGGAGCCCTGAGGGCCTGCACGAGAGGGAGGGGGAAGCCTGCCCGCTCACATGTATATTTCCGTTTTGGGATGGCCATTGTTGTCGCACGCCGCGCCGTAGAGTGCGCTAACCCTCAGTCAGGGCGGCGACGCCTGAAGGGCCGAAGGGAACTGGGGGGGGGGGGGGAGGAAGGCGGCGCGGTGCTTGCGGCGCCCTGCGTGGGCGCGGCTCCATTTGGGCAGACACTACACCGCAAGGGCAGCGCCGGGGCAGCGCCGGGGCACCGCCATCACAATGCAAGTGTGTTTTTCAAATGAAACAAGCCGCGCCCAAGGGATTTGCATGTTTTATGAAAATGTCGAGTACCCTGTCCAAATTTAAAAAAAAAAAATAGGTCCAAAACTTAAGTATTTAAAAAAAAAATTGATTTGTTTGTATCAGTGGGTGGATCCATTGCCGGGCCTGCGGCGGAACCGTTTCAAAGTTCATCTCGAACCACGCACACAAAAAAGGAGTCCACCGAAAAAAAAAGCAATCGGTCTGTGGGCAGCATGACGTTGACAGAGGGGTCACGGACCAAGGGAGAAAGGGGGGAGGGGGAGGGGAGGGAGGATAGTTGTTAGCGGGATGGGTAATAGCCGCTTCTCTGTACTTGGCTTTGCGCGGCGTGGCGCGGCGCGTCCAGGATCGCAGGATTGGCCGGCGACTAATGGATTCGGGAGATTTCAGCCAAATGGCTCCATAGGGGGAAGGCCGGGGCACTTTGTCACCACCGCCATCACATGTTCGCCGGATGTACCGTATTCAATTTCGCGCCAAGGACCTAATGAACAGGTCTTCGCAAAAAAAGATTGCGGGGGTTTCAAAAAAAAGGTTCAAAATGAAAAGAAATAGCGCAAGAAAAAAGAGAAAGTAAAAAAACGATAGCAAAAAAAAAAGACTCCATAAAAAGAGGGTAAAAAAATGTGATAAAAAAAAAATTTGAAGAAGTTGTGTTGCCACACGCGTGCAGCGAGTTTCACCGTTGTTTCGTACCTCAGCAAGGCGGAGCGCCGCCGCCGCCGCTGCCCCCAGGCGGCGAGACGAGGAACCAGCATCCTGCAACAATAATAGACGGCATCAGACGCGAGGCCGAGGCGCCGAGGCCGGGCCGGTTTGTTGTTTCGCCCACGACCAGCGGGGACCAGACCAGACCGATTGGCCGGGATATCCCAGTCCAGATATCGGATAGAGAGATCGTTCAACGCGCCCTGTGTGTGTGTGTGTGGTGCTGGGTTTGTTCTTCCGTGTCCATGGAGCAATCCATCACATGCCTCAAGGGCTCAAGTGCGACCGTGGAACGCCTTGGAACGCCCTTCCCAAGATTCTTCTCGCAGTCCTCCGAACTCCCCTCCCCCTACCCCCACCCCCTTTTTCCAGTGTTCCAGAGGACTGCTGCTGTGCGATGTGCCCTCCTTTGCTGCATCCGTGCAGTCATCTGTCCCCCCCCCCTCTTTCCCTCCTCCAACCCGTTCACCACGTCGACAACGACCCCGGCAAGCACACGACGGCCTCTTCTCCTCTCCCCCCCCCTGCTGGTCTCCCCTTTTCCTTCTCATTTTTCTACCCCCCCCCCTCCTCTCGCAGTGCCGGGCCACGGAAGAGCCAATGGAGGGAGAAATATCACGACAGGAATGACAGATATTTTCTTAAAATTGAAAAGTTTTGCCACGGTCATGGGGAGTGAGTGCGCTGTTTCGCACCACACAAAGCGACTGCTGAGAGCGTCCGGGGGGAGGGGGGGAGAGGGGGAGGGGGTCGGTGCAAAGCCCGGCCCCGAGAACAAGTACCGTTAATTTGGGCTTCGAGCGCCGTCACCTGTTGGCACAGTTGATCAAGCACCGCGGGGAAGGTCGGTAATTACCATTTAATTGCGAGTGCGCTTTCTCCACTAGAAAGAAAAAAAGTCTCCCGATAAGATCAAATTTTACTTGGTTATACAAAATTCAAATATTTATAAACAGATGATATGACATCCTGGGTGGAAATTGTGTTGTGAACGAAAGCAGAACGCAGGGCAAATCAGAGGACAGATTTTCTAGGTCAAAAAGACGTGAGCGAAATGCAGGTACCCGACGCAAATCGGGGTAGAACGCGTTCCGTGCCTCGTTCCCGCCAGGAAGAAGGCTGCTCATTCATTCATTACATTCGGGGGCATAATGCCGCCAGGTGGGCCAATAATACATTTGCGCTGCAAATCGGCGGCTCAATTCGGAGAGGAAAATTGAGTCTGATTGGGTCGCTGCGCCGCGAGTGCGAGAGAGACAGCGAGCAGCAACACGGCGATCGGACCGCGGGGCAGCAGGTCGGTTCCGAGGAGCTTTCTCTCTGTCTCTCTCGCACTCCAGGGGCGGCCCGCGCGGGTGCGAGAGAGAGAGAGAGACACCGGGATCCCCCCGCTGATATCCGACCCGTAAATCTTTTGAGTCAAAGAAATTGCTTCCCCGAGGGGCTGAGGGGGCGTTGTGCAGACGACTTCCTGCCTAAGGCTACTGGACTTCCGGAGCCCGAAGGTACGGCAGGGTGGGGTGTCGTTTGTAGGCGGGGCGGGGCGGGGCGGGGCGGGGCGGGGCGCAGCAGGTAGGGGAGGCTGCGTCGCGGCACCGGGGCGACGGCCCACGCCACCCTTAGTGCCACCCTACACAAAATATAGGCCGGGCCCAAACGGAAGCGCTTTCACTCCGAGCAAAAATTTCCATTCATTAATTGTGGTCATAAAACACGTCTCTTGAGTCGAAATCAGACGAAAATAATTAAATGTCCTAAGCGTGTAGTTTCAAAAGTGAAAAGAGCGGCATCTTCCAGGAGAATTTTTTTTTCTGTGGGGGCCTGGTGGCAACTAGAGAGACCCACAAGGCCCTCGCCCCTCTCTGTCTCACATAGTGTCGACACGCGAACAGACAGACAGACAGACAGACAGACAGGCAGACAGGCAGACAGACAGACACAAGCAGGGAGTGTGAGCAAGGTGCCTTCCTCCAGAAGGGCTGCCTGGCTGTTGTTCCACCCGATTCACCACCGCTCTTCCACGCGGGCTGTCCCAATGCCCCTCTTTTTTCTTGTTTTTTCTTTTTTTTGCTCGCCGCTACTGCCACCCTCTCATTGGCACTGCTTACCCCTCCTCCTTCCGCCTCCAGCGCCCACAGCTACTCGCAGGGGCTTGTGTGTGTGTGTGTGCTGCCTGACGCGATGTGTTCGGCAAAGCGAATATCACATTCGGCATCTCGGAATAAAAGTTAAGTCCCGAGTCCGCCGCCGGGCCTGGAGGCGAGGGAGCGCGACGCACAGCGAGGCAGGAGGAAACGGAGCCGCGTTTTTTGAGTGACGTAAACAAAGTGCTTTCTTCGCGCCAAAAACTTTCACTTTTCAAAGCGGCGCGTGAAAAAAAAGGAGGCAAAAAAACTGTCGCGTGATTAAACTCGGCCAAACCTATATCGGAACTTGCCGGATAATTAATTAAAACAGAGGGAAAACGAGGGCGCCAAGTTTAAAAATTTTTTTTTGTATTTTTTTTTTTTTTGAAGTCATAATAACGGTCGTATCATTTCGCTTTTGCTTTGTCTAGACTACCCCGACGGGCGTGCCGCGCGCCGCGTGCCCTGCCACGGTTATTCTTAAGCCACGCCCGGGGCGGCGCGTGAGCCGTGCCGTGCCGTGCCGTGCCGCGCCGCGCCGGGTCGCCACGCCCGCGGGGGACACGAAAGAGACACGGCGCGCGCGTGATTCTCCTATCAAAATGCTAATTTCTAATATACAAGTTTTCACGCCGGGTGCACACCGCTGCATCTAAATCGGATCTCCCCCGGCGTGGCCGTGTGGCCGCCGTGCAACAAGCTGGCCCCCTCCAGGGCCCCCTCAGGGCCCCTCCAGGGCCCCCTCCAGGCAGGCAACCCCTCTGCATTGTCCCGGCCGAGCGCAAGTTGCAGGCCAATCATAGCCCCCGCACACCATGAGGAAAAAGCTGCCAAATTTATTCATCATTCCAAATCGGCCACTCTGATCCCTTCTTTTTCCGCGTTTCGGTGCGAGATTGGCTGAAAGCGGTATCGGGCCCCGCGTGAGCCGCCAGAGTGCCCCCGCCCCTTTTTTGCCCCTTTGCACGGCGGAAAGAGATAATTTTGGAACGCAGCGTCGTGGCAAATTATTTCCTCACGTCGCTGAACCCTTTCAGAAAAGAATGTAGCCTCGCCTAAGGGCGCGACCAGCCGTCTTCCTGCGGTGCAACCTGTCCTCTGCCGTAGCAGCCTTCTCTCTCTCTCTCTCTCTCTCTCTCTCTCTCTCTCTCTCTCTCTCTCTCTCTCTCTCTCCACTAAAGGGCGGCCCGTGAGAGCGACAGAGACGGCGCTCGTCCCCGTTACAGGCGCTACGCCTATGTCTTTGTCTCCGCATCGAGTGCGCCTATTTTCACCGCCCCGCTGGCTGCGCTGGCTGCGCTGCTCACTGCTTCCCAGCCAATCGCGTCCCGGCAAAACAAAAGGCTTGTTTTTGTTATTGTTATTTTTTTTTTTGCTCGGCGTAAAAAGGCGGGAAAACACGTCGATGACGCAGTGATCGCGGTGCGCTCGGCTCACAGTGGGCCGGAAGACCGGTGGGAGGCGGTCGAAATCCAGACCGCGTTTTGAGCTTCAGAGTGGCTAAATGGGACTCAAACCGAGCGTGTGACCCCACCAATGGATTCCTCGTTCGAAGAGCAATCCATTGGTGGGGTCACACGTTCGGTTCGAGTCCCGCTTAGCGGCTCTGAAGCTCGAAACGTGTCTCGAGCTTTAGCCGCCTGCGCCGGTCTTCGGGCACACTGTGCAACGGTCCTCGTGCGTCGCGGGCGGCGAGGGCGGCCGCGCCGCGACAACAGGGCCAGTGTGTCACTTCCAGATTAGCCCCGGGCTGCCCCGGGCCGGGCCCTGTGTTCCAGGTCAGCGGTTCGGGGACAATAACAGTGTGGCGCGCAGCGCGCTCCGGGCGGCCAGCGGAGGAACTAAAAGAGCGGCCAAAACCAAACGGCAGCAGTGTTGCCGCGACCTCCCACGATGCACCAGCTGGCCAAAAACCGTATACGGCAAAAAAAAAACCGTATACGGCAAAAAAAAACCGTAAAAGGCAAAAAAAACCGTAGACGGTAAAAAAAAACCGTTTACGGCAAAAAACCGTATGCGGCGAAAACCGGTGGCAACCTTGAACGACACCGCACACTGCTGCCAGCCCCGCACCTTCCCTGCGACACGAGATAGCTCCGCGAAGGCTTCACTCCCTTCACGCTCTTTGAGGCGAGCAGCCCCGTGACAGCCAACCTCCCCGCGCGTCCGTGCCAGTCTCGTCAGCGCGCTGGGGGTACGCACGCGCTGCGCACGCACGCGGGAGTGGTTGACGCCGAACCTCAAGGCAACGCAATAACCACCAACCCGCCCCCACCCCAGAATTAACACTGCGTTGCTGCCGAATCTGCCACCCCAAGGCCTGCCCAGCCCGAGGCCCGCCCGACGCCTGGCCGATGGCAATCAGGAGATAAAACAGGCGAAGGCTCGCGCATAAGAGGCCGGGTGAACGTCGCAGGGCCCCGGGGCCGTGGGCCCTGCGGGGAGGGAGGGCTCCAGAGGCGTGGGCCTCCACGGCGCATGAAACTTGAGAAAGGGGTGCTTCGGAAGCTGATAGGAGGGAAGCAATATCAGGAGTGAAACAGGCAACAGGCGCCCTGCCCGGCAGCGCCCAGCAGCGCTCATTCCGTCGCCCTGTCTCCCTCGCTCCCTGACGGTGCGCGAGCGCGCGAGAGAGACAGGGCGTGGCCGGGCAGCTCGGAAATCAGAGTAATTCGGGCGAGCGACGTAAACAAGGCGAACAAGTGGCACTCGCGCAGGGAGGCCGCCGGAAGCGGTCCCGCGAGACTGCAGGCCGGCCGGCCCGATTGGCGAAAGCCCTTCCCGCGTGGCACAGTGGGCCAGAAGACCGGTGGAGGCGGCTAAAACTCTAGACGCGTTTTGAGCTCCAGAGTCGCTAAATGGGACTCGAACCGAACGTGTGACCCCACCAATGGATTGCTCTCCGCACGAGGAATCCATTGGTGGGGTC